CCACGCTTTCCAAAGTGTATCATGCCCTTCCAGGGTGAGACCTTCAACAAGACGCGGTCACCAACCTGGAATTCCAAAGGTTTTCTCCTTTTTTCAGCGTAGCTTTTCTGTCGATCTCTGGAAGCTTTAAGTCGCTCCTGAATTTGTACGATTTTCTCTATAGTTTCATGAATGATTTCCGGACCAGTGAGAGTTCTGTCAGGAACTTGACCTCTAGCTAGTTGCGTGTCACCCACTTCAGCCCATCACAGAGGTGATTTGCACTTGCGGCCATAGAGGGCTTCGAATGGAGCAGCCTTTATACTAGTGTGATAACTGTTGTTGTATGAGAATTCGACAAAGGGTAAATGAGTATCCCATACCTTTCCAAAGTCTATCACGCAAGCTCGCAACATGTCTTCTAAAGTTTAAATCGTCCTCTCACTTTGTCCGTCGGTTTGTGGATGGTAGGCTGTACTCATGTCCAGCCTAGTTCCCAAAGATTTTTGTAAAGACTGCCAGAAACGAGAAGTGAATCTACTATCTCGGTCAGAAATAATAGATATTGGCACACCATGCAGTCTAACGATCTCCTTGAGGTAAGTTCTTGTTAGCTTCTCCATCTTGTCGGTTTTTTTTATTGGTAAGAAGTGTGCGGATTTAGTTAATCTATCGACGATTACCCAAATAGTATCATAACCACCCAATGTCTTGGGTAACTTACTTATGAAATCCATCGTAATCCGCTCCCACTTCCATTCAGGGATTTCAGGTTGTTGCAATAAACCTGAAGGTTTCTGGTACTCTACCTTGACTTTGGCACAACTAAGGCACTTTCCCATAAAGGTAGCTATTTCGGCCTTCATGTTAGGCCACCAGTATCGTTTCTTGAGGTCCAGATACATCTTGTGTGAACCTGGATGAATGGAGTATCGGGTTTTGTGTGCTTCATTCATAACCACATCTATGTAACCACCGAACTTTGGTGTCCAGATCCGGTTCATGAAACAATAGACTCCATCATCCTTGACTTCGATGTTCTTATCCATTCCTCTCAGGGTTTCATCTGTCACGTTTTCGGGTTTCAAGGCCTCGAGTTGAGCTTCTTTGATCTGTGTGGACAGATGTGAATGGATTGTCATGGTCAAAGACTTTACTTGGCGTCCCGAGTATTCTTTTCTGCTAAGGGCGTCAGCTACTACGTTAGCATTACAAGGGTGATAAAGAATCTCACATTCGTAGTCGTTCAGTAGCTCCACCCACCGTCGTTGTCTCCTGTTCAGCTCTTGCTTGATCGAAGATATGCTGGAGACTTTTATGGTCCGTGAATATTGTGCATTTCGTGCCATATAAATAATGTCTCCAGATCTTCAGAGAAAATACTACTGCTCGTAGTTCAAGATTATGTGTTGTATAATTGAATTCATGCGTCTTAAGCTGTCTTGAAGAGTAGGATATAACCTTTCCTCTCTGCATAAGAACACATCTAAGCCCTTGATTAGAAGCATCACAGTACACTACGAAATCCTCTGTCCCCTCGGGAAGAGACAGGATCGGTGCGCTGCACAGAGCTCGCTTCAGTATTTGAAACGTTGTTTTTTTTTCTCTCCCCAATTAAAAGTTACACCGTTTTGTGTCAAGGTGGTAAGAGGTTTACCAATTCGGGAGAAATTCTGGATGAATCTGCGATAGTAGCCAGCAAGACCTAAGAATTGTCGGATTTCTGTAGGTGTTTTGGGTGGTGACCAGTTCTCAATTGCCTTTATTTTGGAAGGGCCCACGTTTATTCCTTCTGAATTGACCACGTGACCCAAGAAAACAACCTTCCTGATCCAAAACTCGCACTTTGAGAACTTCGCATAGAGTTTCTCTGTTCTGAGAGTTTGCAATACTTAACGAAGATGTTGGCCATGTTCCTCTTCACTTCTTGAGTAGATAAGGATGTCATCAATGAAGACTATGACGAATTTGTCCAAGAATGAACGACACACTCAGTTCATCAAATCCATGAACACAACAGGTGCATTCGTCAATCCGAATGGCATCACTACAAACTCGTAATGACCATAACGAGTTCTGAATGCTGTTTTGGGAATGTCCTCCTCCAAAACCCATAACTGGTGATACCCGGATCTTAAGTCTATTTTTGAGAAGTAGCTCGCACCTTGCAGTTGATCGAACAGATCGTCAATACGAGGCAAAGGATATCGATTCTTGATGGTAAGTTTATTCAGCTCGCAGTAGTCTATGCACATAAAGAATGATCCATCCTTCTTCTTCACGAACAAAACCGGTGCTCCCCAGGGTGAGAAGCTTGGTATTATGAAACCTTTACTAAGGAGTTTGTTCAGCTGGCTGGATAATTCCTGCATTTCAGAAGGTGCAAGACGATAGGGGGATTTGGCTATATGGGTAGCCCCAGGGATTAAGTCAATTCTGAATTCGACTTGTCGTTCGGGAGGCACTCCTGGAAGGTCGTTGGGAAAAATGTCGGAAATGTTGCAGACCTCAGGAATGCTCGTGATGTATTTCACTTCTTGCTTTTTGTCTACCACGTGAGCTAAGAAAGCACAGTACTCTTTGCGAAGGTACATACAAAGAATTTAACCTTGCTACCCTCCGGACATGAGCAAATTTCAAAAATTGCCTCTGTCTTGTCAATCCATTTTCTCAACGCCATTACTCCTACAGTCCCGTTAAAGGTCCTGGGTTTGGCGTTCGAGAAATCCTTATAGGTAGACTCTCGTGAGTGCCCGTGACTCTCGCCGTGGTTAGAGGGCTACACACCAACTCCTGATCCACTTGTACCAGGGGTGTTTATATGAGCCATAGCAGCTGCAACGGCTGCTGTGACCGCCGCCTGAAACGTGGCAACATCAAATTGAGGAGGTGGTGGTGGGGGTGGTGTTGGCGCTTCATTAACATTGACATGTCTTGGGTTTATGCGAGGAGGCATCTTTTACTAAAAGTCAAAAGATGAAAAGATGGTAAAATATCAAGAGTGAATCATAAACATGATATCTCTGAACTAAAACACTTAGTTCAATATGAATCTTGTAAAGAATTGGAAGTAGAAGTCTACTACAAGTACAACTTCCAACAGGATAATATGAAATTGAGTGGTTATTTTTCAAAGAGTAAGAAAATGCATGTCGATTATATTGGCATATCGAATACATAGATTCTGGAAAACTTGACCCTAAACAGGTCTACAATACACCAAATTACTGGAAAATCATCGACATTAAACCGATCTATTGAAAATGAAATTTTCGCGGTCGTATTGAAAAATATGAAAAATAACGTTAGAACATATCCGCAGACTTAACTATAACCAAAAGAGTAAGTAGTGAACAAGTAGAGAGAAGTCTACTTCTTAAACCAAAAGAAAGGATGAATAGAGCATCTCCTACTGCCGACGTGCACCACTCGGATGTACCCTTAATTCGGCCAGTTGACGCTCCACATTAAGCAGGTGTATCTCATACACTGTTAGGCGTGCTCGGAGCTCTATGACTTGTAAGGTCCTAGAAACAGGATCTTAACCAGTGATCAAGAAATCTAACAATCAAATAAGATGAGGATTGAGTAGAAGAAGAATGAATCAAAGCTTGCACACGTTTGTATTCAGAAAACGTCTGGTACAGCTCTGATACCAATTGTAAGGTCCTAGAAACAGGATCTTAACCAGTGATAAAGCAATCTAACAATCAAATAAGACGAGAATTGAGTAGAAGAAGAATGAATCAAAGCTTGCACACGTTTGTATTTAGAAAACGTCTGGTACAACTCTGATACTGGCCGTAAACTCTATGGATCATCAACAACTACTAACAGACACATACTGATCCTATATATAGGGGAGAAGACATGACCGTAAACTAGACTTGGCCGTAAACAGGTTTACGGCCGTAAACCTGTTTACGGCCATAAACATACTCTTAGCCGTAAACATACCAAAACACTTCTATTTCAAGACTAAATGACCTATACATCCAAAGCCTAGCCCAAACCATAACATGGACCCTTCATGACTTCAGATCGAGTTGCAGCTAGGTCTTGCTGCAAAGTCTCATTGTCTCTCATAGCTCTTCCATGAGCAAATTTAAGATTGAGAATACGATCTGTATTGGTGTTCGTGTCCGCATGAAGCTCCACAGTTTTTTGAATGGCTGTCATTCCTAGCTCAACATTTCGAGCCACTCGGCGAACCAAGATAGGAAGAACTCTGTCTGCAGAGCCTCCCTCACATAGGTTGTAGAAGCTTCGTTCTTCGTTGTAGGGTAAAGGTTGACCTTGCTCCCGGATCCACCTACTCAACTTCTCAGCCCATGAAGGCGTTGGGCCTTGAAAAGCCGGACGAGGGTTAGGATTTGGAATTGGAGCCACCTGGGGTATATCATTGACTTGTAGCTCAGAGTCAGAATCCTCTGAAAAATTTTCTACAAAATCATCGTCCAAAGGAATTTCATGATTCTCTTCTGGCTCTGCATCTTGTGCTTGATTGGGAAAGTACGAGTCTTCGGGTAGATGAAATCCAACCATTGATATCTAAGCGAGAATAGGGATAAGAGATATAGAATATAATTTGTAACAATAGTTTATGAATACAAGTTTCTATGAGGTATACTTACAGTTAACAAGTAATGTATTATGTATGACTTATTTTAGGTATTACTATAACTACAAAGTGTAAACTAATTATATATAACTTGGGTATAATCGACCTTTGATTAAATGATCCGGCTCTAAATCCACAACCAAACAAGGAACAGGAAATGAAGCTAGATCACATATTCTAAGTCTATATAACTTAAATTATATATATCTTTACTATTATATAAAGCATATTAGAGGTTTCTTGAAATTTAAAAGGTACAAACTCTAATACATCATATACAATCATATTAAGCTTATTTCTTCCTATACATATAACCATCCGTTTAATTAACTAAAGAAACGTAAATAAAAAAAAAGTACGTATATGTTTCATTAATTCAATTGATTATATACCATTCTTGAATTTTCCTCCATACTCTAATTTTCTCTCACTAATACCCTTAAACCCTAAAAAATAATAGATAATCGCCGTCACTTTCCTCATCCTCATCTCTCCCACATCAAAATCGCTTCGGACCCCATCTCCACCATCTCTCTTCCTTCGCACCGGAAAATAACCTAACTCCGCCACCACTCCGCCACCCATCCTCAAAAGACTTGTAATCGCCACCACTCCACCACCCATCCTCAAAGAACCTGTAATCGCCGCTGCCCCCACATCCGCCACTAACCAGGGGCTAACCGTCGACGACCACCCTTACATACGCTGCAATCGTTGCTGCCCCCACATCCGCCACTAGCCAGGGGCTAATTGTCGATGACCACCCTCACAGATGCTGCAGTCGCTGCTGCCCCCACATCCGTCGACTATATCTCATCTCTCCTCTCTTCAAACCATAAGGTATAAGTATCATTCTATCTTCAATCAATTCAAAAAAATTGATTCTTTTTCTCACCACTAAGTTAAGCGAACAGATTTGTTACAATATTTTAACTGTTTTCGACATAACTTGAAGAGTAACCAAAAAACAGTGGCTGTTTGCAAATTGTGATCATATAAAGTTCTTCTTTTGTAGTGAAAAAACAAATAATGTGATTGAAATGTCGATATAACACAATAAGAACTCAAAATGGTTCAAATGTGCAAAGTACTTTGTCTTTATGATTCATAAATATAAGTTATATATCATGTTTAATGTGCCCTGTAGCTATTCCTGTATGGGTGCTATATACCAAATTTTGAAATGCTTTAAAGTTGTATAATAACTAATAAAGAGCAAAACAAAGAAAAAAAACACAAAATATTTTTCTTTTTATCGAATTAACGACTAAGCTATTAATATAATAACATTTTACAATTTACAAACAAACATTCATTTCAAACCATAATACACACATATTTTACAAGTAAGAAGAAGATGAGCCACTTAGAAAAACAAGTCACTGCCATCATAGGAAGCTGCTGGAAGGCAAATGGACCTTCTTTTGACAAACTTCCAGCAAACAGATGGAAGATTAAGAACCAAATTGTCAAAGACCTGATCTTTGGTGGTGATGAAAAGAAACATTCATTTCAGGTTTGGATCTTTCGCAGCTTTTAAATATCAATGAACTTTTATTACTTTCTATATAATGCAATTGTACATTCATTTAGTAATCATAATTTATGTCTTTTTTATACAGGTTGGTCTTGTGGACACTCTGCATATCATCATAGTGAAGCAAGTCTTGTGGGCACCATCATTGGCATGGCCCAAAACTTTGTGGACACCCATCACAGGTGATTTTTTTAACAATGCAAATGAACTTCTCAATTACTTATCCATTGAGCCTACTTGGTATATAAATCCCTCTTTTTGTATTCGAACTTAATTTTTTTTTAAAATATTTTTTTTGACATATACCTTCCGGTTATACCCATGGTCTCATCTCATTTTGAGCTTTTTAAAGATTTATATTCACAACTAAACTGGTAACAAGTTTTCACTGATAAATTTACTTATTTAAGATGCCTAGATGACCCAAGCTTTCCGACTATGAGTTGCCACTTTATTTTTATTATTTATATACCTTTAAAAATGTAAGTTATCTTAATTACTACAATAGGCTTCCTTTTTCATAGAACTTCTATTTAGAATTTATTTATAAGTTTCATAATAACCATTGTTTATTATGTCGTGATTAAACATAAAAATATATGCGAATTTTGTTTGCATTTTAATTGTTTTAATATTGGTCTAAATCGTTTTACTATACATGTAACGAGAAGCTTACTTGAATAAAACATTTGCAAAAATCTTCTACTTATAAAACAGGAACTCTTTTTTACCATTGTATTGCTTTTAGTTGAAATAAACATTATAATGGTCATTTAATCAAAAGTATATCTCTGTTTTGTGATACATGGAATTTTGGGATTTTTGTTAGTGTGATGCTTTTCATAAACTCATGATTGTCACAATGATGATGTGCTAATTAAAATATGTATTCTTTTAGAAGATGATAGAGTAATTTTATAAACTAATTTAAACCTAATTATAGCTTGAACATTATATAAATCAATGATTGAAATGCAATGTCATTATTTATAATTTACATGGTAGTTGATATATACGTATTAATATTAATATTCTTTAATATATTCTTGATTATAAGTTTCTTTTCTAAAAGTAACTTCAAAGAATTATTTTTATTATTATCTTATCTGGGTTTTAATGAGCTAATAGTAAAGATTATGTTTTTTGTTTTGTAAATAATAGACTCTATAGCTATAATTAAATTACATATAGAATAATATTACTATTAAAATATAAAACCATATATTGTATTTATATATAATATAAAAACAAGCATATGTAAAGTTCATAGGAAGCTGCCGGAAGGCCAAGGGACCTTCTTTTGACAAACTTCTGGCAAACAGATGGAAAATTAAAAATACATTGTATTACTATTAAAAGTTAAAACCATATATTGTATTTATATATAATATAAAAAATACTAAGCTTACACCCATCACACGTTATGTTAGTTTACAAGATTAAAAATTCTTTTTTCAATCTATTTAAATATGATAATAATATGATTAAGTTTCATATGATTTGAAATACTTTTGGTAAGGATTTGCAACTGTTATTATATTAATTTTTAAATTTTTCAGTATATTTGTTAAGTTTTGTATGATTTTAAATATTTTTGGTATGGATTTTGATAGTTATTATATTCATTTTTAAATTTTCAAGTATATTTGTCAACGATAGTATTCATGGTAAGAATTTAATTTGATTATTTTGGAATGATTATCAATATCCAAAAATACATCATTTTCTATTCTATAATAGTTTATTCCAACTATAAATTTAATATATGTTCTTCATTTCTAACTCTCAGAGCACAATTCGGCAGTTAAGGTTTGAGATGATTGAATCATTCATTTGGAATCGGGAAGACTGCATCATTGCATTGCATTCGGTGACACACAAATTCAGGTTTTCTTTACTTCTTTCTATCTGTTATAACTTCAAGTATGTCTATAATATTTTATTTCTTACTTCTATTTGAAGTGATAAACTTCATCTGTGTCATGTAATACACTTATATAATATGTAGATCTGGTGTGTATGTACGTGTTTGTTACATTGTATATATGTATGGTTGTATATGTATATGTTTTGACCTTGTGTGTATGTCTATTTGAGTGACTGTGTTTGCGGTCTTAAATGGCAGGGACTTTAACAAACTTTTCTGTTTTTTCTTCTTGAAAGAGAACATGGTTTTCTTTACATGAGAAAAACTAAGAAATTAATGTTTAGCAATATGTTGTGACCATCAAACCAATATCTTAACATACACAAAAAAAACAGTTTTTTTGAGTTTGAGTGAATGTGTCTTCGTGTTTTTATGATTGTAATAGTAGAGACTTCATCATTTTTTTTGTATGTGCATTTTTATTTTTGCCAATTAATTTTAGTATATACTTAAAGAGAATATACCCTTTTTTCCAAAGTTTGTGAATTTACCGATTTGCCCTTGGTTCAACAAAAATATAGGATGTGAAAAAAATAAATCCGGTTTCAAAATATTATCTTTTCCTGTCTTTTGTGAGCTTGAAATTTAAACTCCGATTTTTTTAAATTGATTGTGTATTTTATTAGATAAGATTTTTTTTATTTTTGATTACTATATTTGTTGATACAAATGCTGCAAAGTGTGGTCACATGGATTGGAAATATGAAAAAAACCATAAAAATCCAGAAATTATGTCCGTTTAGTAATTTTTGAGGCATTGGGGATATAGACAACTTAGGATTTTTCTACTTTTGAATATTCCTTTCCCTAAACTTTGTCATGAAACTGGTCAAATAAGTGCTGTTTTGATAAACTTTTTCATGAAAATGGTCAAATAAATGCTGTTTTGATAAACTTTTTCATCAAGTTGACTTCTGATTACTACATCCATTATATAGTCTAATTAATGGGTTTTCTATAACATTTAAAGAATAACTCATGTAATAAAAACTCTTATTGCTTGGATATTTCAAATTTACAATACCTATGTTATTATACATTGGGCATCTCAAATCGATATAATTTTTTATATAAATAATGATGTAAATCATTTCTACATCAACATAATTTTTTTTACGTAGAAATGGTGTTATTAATAATGTCACATTAAATTTGGTGACAAAAGACTTTATTAAACACCAAATTTAGTATTGATGTTTCATCGTTTAAAATCGATGGTTCAAGTTTAAGTATATAACCCAAAGTTTCATGACCTTAGATTAGATTAGGTTCAATATTTTCAGCTAAAGGGTTAGATGGTAATTTGAGATGGAAATAAATTATTTTTAGAATTAATACTTATCCATTTGTAACAAATCGTCAAATCCTATCCACGATCGTCAGCTAAAATGGAATCTCAATTGTCAATTGTAATCGTTTGGTCAGTTTGTAGAAGAGTCTTTGTATTGTTAAACAATTTTAACCATTTCAACAAAAAGTAAGATTTAAATTCAATTTTGACAATTTTAATCAATCACATCTGACTTTTGTTTTGTAGAATCATGAACAGTTACATTTATGTTGATGCATTTTCATTGCTACTGAACTTCCATTTGTGGTATATTTTGATACCCGTTTGTGTGAATTTCATTTGGAGAGACGTAAAAGCAAACAAACTCTTCATTGTCCTCATTGATCAAAATGTATGTTTAAAAAACTATTTATATCTTATATTCATTTTCATAATTTATCATAAATATTTTGTTTATAAAAATATTACATTTTCTATTAGAGAGAGAAATTGGTAGCAGTTGTTCCACAACAAATGATGCGTTTTATTTATGGAGGGAATCTATTGGGTGGTGTGTTCTCTTTAAAACATTTCCAAATCGAACCAACATATGCTGAGTATCCGAGGTATCAAGAATACAGTTTATTACGTGGTGATTTGATGATTAGGATCAGCAATAACACACGGTTTAATCGTTTGGCCGATTCTATCATATCATGGTTTCCGGTTTTTCCATTGGTTCCCTCGATTAAAAGTTTAATAGAGGATCGGACAGAGAGAAAAATGATGATCGGTAAATTTAATAACTTCTATATATTTTTAGCATCCTAAATTTTTTAAAATAATAACTTATCCTTTTAATAATCGTTGTTTTTAGATATTGTTGGAAAAATCATCAAAGGCAAGCGAAACTATTCCCGTTACTTTGGTTTAATGTCGTTAACTTCGTTCACTTTATATCTCCAAGACGGCCCGTAAGTTATTATTATTATTATTATTATTATTATTATTATTATTATTATTACACTAAAACAAATTTAGATGACTTTGGAAATATTTGATTATAAATAGGGGGAGTATAATAAAGTTGAAACTATATATAACCGCACGAACTCGCCATCAGATTGTGAGGACTTGCTATGCAATAAAGAGAAAGTACATAATATTTGTTTCTCGGGTAAAATTGGTTCATTTAGATACAAGTTTGTTTTTTTTAGAAAATTATATACTTGTAGTGATATTAAAATAACTAAATCAATCTGTTTTAATAGCTTTTATATTATTTTCAGTGAACATTTTGATATCAACCGAATTAACCGACGTAGAGTTCCAGCCGAGGATGCCGGAAGCATTTAACATCATCAATATGCCTAAAGAATTTTTGATTCCGTGTGAGACATTTAGTGGTGTTTTTTTTTGAAGTTTTGACAACTTTTACGAGTGCGTCTCTTTTAGAGTTGATCTACATTAATGTTAGACATATTGTGGTGAATTTTTTCATGTACGGTTTATTTTTCTTATGTTGCTTTATGACTTGATATATAATAATTTTTGGATATTTATGGATATTTCTTTTAACTATATATTAGTTTCTCCTATTGTGTTTTTGAATTACAAGTTTTTAGTATATTTGGTTATTTATTAAGGGTTGTGTTGGTATCTAAAAAACAAAAAATAAATTAATGTTTAAATCAAATTTGATTATTTTTCCAACAAAAAATTAGTTTAATGTGAGAATCTCTTGTTGAATTAATGAGCATGTGTACAATTGTTAATGTTTAGATCCGATATATGAAAAGTTTGTACTTTTAAAATTGTTAATGTTCATTGCAACACATCACACAAGGCTTTAAGCTTTTGGTATCGTACAATTGTTTAGGGTTTAGGTATCGTACAATTGTTTCTTGTATTTTTTTAGAGTATTTATTCGTGTGAAACACACACATACATGACTACTAAATCACATGGTCTACATTACAAAATGTTACATTCTTTATGATATAATAAGTGTTTATTCTTAACATTTCCATTGTAGTGTGCAATAAGGACTGTTGATAAGGGAAACGAAAACTGTGATGGTTTCCAAAACACAATAGATATAGAAAAGGTATTTCGTTTATATCAGTATATATTTGCATTTATTATATTTGACTATTTATCAAAATAAAATATTTGTAGAAAATCGAAAAAGATACAATAGAAACTATTACGCACGAAAAAAAGAGAAAAACAAAATGAGAAGGATAGCTAACGGTGAAGGATGTAGTCAACCTACAACACTCACAAGTTGCACTACAATGGAGACGAACGAAACAAATATCAACGAAGATTCTTCTGTGAGTGTTTTAAGTGCAGCTCAGAGGACCAGTACTTATAATAAAGAATATTATCAACGAAGAAAGGAACGAAATATGATGACAAAAAGAAGAGTATACGCCTTTCAGGAGAGCAAAAAGTTTACTACAGTTATGATGAAGCGGAAGAAGATAGTAATAATTTATATCCGACGGAGTTCTTGAACTCGCTGAATGTTAGTGGTCTTCCCCCTCATTATCTTCGGTTAAAAATTGGTTGCCCAATAATACTATTACGAAATATCGATCCATCAAATGGATTATGTAATGGGACCAGATTGATATGTAGAGCTTTCCAGCAAAATGTCATTGATGCAGAAATAGCTGTTGGTCAACATGCTGGAAAAAGAGTGTTTTTACCAAGAATTCCTCTATGTCCGTCTGATGATGAGATGCTCCCGTTCAAATTGAAGAGAAAACAATTTCCACGTCGCCTTAGTTTCTCGATGACGATCAATAAAGCTCAAGGACAAACAATTCCGAACGTGGGAGTTTACCTACCAGAATCGGTATTCTCACATGGCCAACTTTATGTGGCCTTATCCAGAGGAATATCACGTGTTAATACAAAGGTATTAGTAAAGCCAGAAAAAACGTTCGATCATGATGCAATCTACACATCAAACGTAGTGTACAAAGAAGTCTTGTGTGATTGATAAGGTACAATTAAGAACTCATTATTTTACAATTGTTACAATATGTATCATGTATACTAATTTGATGTTTATTGCCAAACATGTCATTATATTTATGCATCGACTTTCATCTATTGATGATTAAAAAGAACAAACATGCATGATTGCAGATTGATATTTATAACGAAGTAACACATAAATTTATTTATCAACGTTTAATTGTTGAAATGAAAGAATTATCAATATTTTGTAGCTTGTTTAATACTTAACTGTTTTTATGATTTGATCAAATTGCCGCAAGGAAACTATTCAACGAAATGAGTTAATTACCGCCCAGAAATTATTCGTCGCCGCCGCTTTGCACGGGTACACCACTAGTATATATACTAATAACAAATATGTGAAAACTAAATAACCATTGTGGGTAGAACTATAAATATTAAGAGTATA